AAATTAACAAAATAGCAATAATTTGCATCGTAAATTATACCTTAATAACATGGAAACTTATCTCGACCTAAGACATCTACGTCCAATGGTTCTTCGAATAAAAACCTATACACCTTATTGCCTAGCAATAAAGATCAATTTTGAGTAACTCCAGTTCGAGTCGCGCAAAAATATATTGGTAATGTTAGTCATAAAACAAAGGGAATGATACGTGGAAGTTAATTACAAATGTAATTAGGTCTAATCAAATAACGTAATCTTTTTGTGCTTTTTATCGCGTCAAAATTATTTTTATATTATAGGCTTTTAGCTATTATAAAAGCTGAAGTTACTCAAACTCTTACTTGAACTTTCATCATTGAAGTTTTAATAAACCTTTACTTCATAAGATTTAAAAAGATTTTTTTACCCAGGCATACATTATACCCCTTATTATGAAAGTGTTATTTATATATCAACTTATAATTTTAACATTATCATTAATAGAGTAATCAAAAGCTCTCTTTTCATTAAACTAGCTATAACTCTAAAATCAAAACAAACGATATTTAAAACTTCTGTTTAAACGGAAAATATTTTACTGGAAATCACAATTAGAACAGGAAAACCACGAAATGTATACATTACAATTATTACAATATGTTGTATACGACCATATTTTTATTGTACGAAATATGGACGACATGTGAAGGCGGATACTACAAAATCAAGGATAAAGAGAGATACAGTAGACAGCCGCCGACTTGGCCGCGACCAAGGTTTATATCACGTATAGCACTATGAGTATTAAATAATATAATATTCGAATAGTAATGATAACACATCATATCAAATAATACTCGTTTTAGATAATTGGATTATTATTTTTCAAGAATTTACGACAGGAAATAGAAAGTCGTGTTATCATTTGTATTTATTTTTAGAAATCGATTATTGAGGTAACATTTGATAGAATTCATAAATTAATAATTATTCATATTGTGTATATAAATTTTATATCTGATGTGGAATTTTTATTATGCATAGGTACTTGCATAACTAAATAGTATTTACTTTGCATGAGTGATTCCACTATAGAGTTGTCTAGAGGATATAGTATCTTTAAAAAGGTCTAACTGTTGTCCATAGACAGCTGCAACACGGTCGCTTCGTTCTTTAAAATGGCAAGAGTAGAAAAGTACTATAACGATAACCGCTCATATGATACTGGTGTATAATAAAATTTTCTATAAAACACCGTTAAAAAAAAATTAGATCAAGACAGGTGATAAATATCGTGTAGTATGTACCTTAGGTAAAATTCGAAGTTAATTCCATAGTTTTAAGTAAATAAAAACGAATTAATACATCAGGGGCAGCACCATAAAAAAAAAATTAGAGCAAACATAAAAATTAAAAGAAAAAAAATTCCATAGTTATGAATTAATACATCACAGAACCAACCAACAAATCCATACCGTGTTATAGTTTTTGAAAACGAATTTATTTAATTATTATGATTACAATTGTAATCATGAGTATCCTTCCGTTGCCGTGAGTTCGTTTAATTAGAATTATTGTAATTAACAGCTAATGATCGATTGATTAATCAAAGGAAATTGGATAATTGTTGTTTATTTAGAGCATAGAATCTTTAGCGTTTGTATTACATTAAGAAACGATTAATAAGCAGTAAGCCTAGTGAGAAAGTGATTCTCAACTCTGAGGTCGTTGTTTGAACCTTCTGCGCTAAAGTAAGCAATTAAGAGCTCGTACAAGGAAAACATCGTGGCTTACCTATAAAGGAACAAATATAAATGAAAGAGGTAAATAAATTTAATAGCTTTAGCTACTGAATTAAAAAATCTCTGTGTATAGAAAAATTATCTCTACCGAAACACAATTTTACAATAATAAATTTCTTCTTAAATCAAATTACAGTAGACAGGTGTAGAACGAAAAAACGATAAACTGTCGTAATGCAACGTTAAAAGATGCTTAAAATTTGAATCGCAGCAATTGTAATTAATTTAATACAAAGTAATGCAAATTATAAATTAAGTGAGTAATATTTTGACGTGTTTCTTGCAAATCTACATAATTATATTCAAAACGCAAGCAGAAACAATTTGCGAATTAACTTCTGTAATTTGTCGAATTATCACACGCGATCTGTACAACTCGATCGATACTTAGATTTCACGACTTCCGCTACAAATTTTCGAGTAATGAATTATTTATCACAAAGAAAATGTGATATTAATAGCAGCATATTATTGCGGATCGATAATCGAAATCGCAATGTAATTAAAATAAACAAAATAGAATTATAAATAATCATAGATAAGTAGGATTTCAAGGACACATTATCGCTTTGTGTTTCCTTTTATAAATTATTGACTAAAATTAATATACCTGTGGCACTCGGGGACTGCTGCCGTAAAGCTATCGCATAGCATTTTTTATCTTTAATGCAATTATAATTATTTATTTATGCAGTATTTTTTTTCTCTAACGCGTACCGGCTGTACCGGCCGCGCTTCCGCTACGTCACCGATCTCGTCAGAGAGATGTGAATACGCAGTATGCGTTCTGTCCCGCTCTAACGCGTATTGGCCGCATCTATGTATTACGTCATCGTGTGTTAGCCTGTTAGGTTTTTATTTTCGTTACGGAATTTCTTGATCAAAGCTCGCGATAAAATCTATGCTATGGCTTAAAAACAGTTCAACACCTACAACGTGCCACTACAATCAATGCGTTGACGAACATACCTACCTTGAATCGCGCTATCAAACAGTTTCCGCTGTGAATATAAACAACATCTTAACTTCAGTCTTTAGGACCTCTGGGTCATCACTGGTTAGACAAGGATCCTTCCTTTAGGCTAATGGAACAGTTCACCATTCTTCCTCCACAAACAATTGCCTACAATCTAGCAGACATTTTGGTTACAGTGCTTTTTTCACTACAATGATTGACGATTTTAGATTTCTAGACTTTCGGTCATTTATAAAGTTCTTTAAGGGATATAAATGAAAATATATTGTTCACCTAACTCGTTGTCTAAGGCTGGCCACCGCTACCGTGTAACAGTCGATACGTGGATTTATGTTAAAAACGATTTCGCATTTTCATCTGTTAAGGAAATTTCATTTAATAAAAACATAATTTTTTTATTTCTTATTACTCTTTTTCTAGTGTTTGAAATTATAATTTTTCTTCCATAATCCGCTCTATTCATCAAGGTTAAATAGCAACATCGTAATATATCAACTATTCACAACAATTATCAGGGAATTCACCACTATTACATATACTCTCATATTACTTGATGTTGTAATCTAGATTAATATGTATATACTTGTTTATCTTAAGTAAACTTAAATAACCATTTAAAATATAGGTTACATTATTATTATTACTATCAGAATCGCGTGCTTTTAATAGCGGCAAGCTTTATTTAAATTGATCATTTATTATTAAATTATTTGTTGTGAGACTGAAAATATCAACGAAACGCGTTCCGTTAGATAGAGAGTGAACAACAACATCGCTAGTGATTATTAGACTAGTCTAATACACGTTGGCAGGCAACATCACACGTCATTCTTTTACGTCTGTTGATTTGGGGCGATCTTCTAGAAGAAACCTCATCAACAATTCTTTTATATTAAAGCAGTAGTCTTATATTCACAATTCCTGGATTTTGCTGTGCTCATGATATCCAATCATGCATGCATCAAATCAGTCGTTAAATATTCCTAGCAAAACCCATTTCTTTTTTTTTATGTACTTCTGATAGGTACATAAAAATATAAAAAAAGATAATTGATCATTATCAATACAGTTTTATGACAAAAAAAATTGATTTCCTTATTCAATTAAAAAGCCTTTTTATACGCATTTTCATCATAACACACTTAGCTATTTATTTTTCAATTTAATTGATATAAAATATAAGTTGTAACGTGCATTCTAGCACATACTTGATGTCATTCGTATGTCTTATTTCTCGGAGCAATTACGATGTCCAATTAAAGAGAACACTATAATCAACAGATAATTAATTTAATAGCATTAACTTAAACGTCGATTGATTACGGGAAATTGAGGTCGAAAGTTGCATTGTGCATAATAATGGGTTAACGAGCTATTGATACAGCCTTAAATGGAAATATTGTTTCTTTTACAAGTACAAATTACGTTTTAATTTTTTATATATAGTTTCTAGAAGAGCTTATAACGGATATTATGAGGTAAAAGCTTTTTGATTGTTCGCAATGAGTTGTTCTCAATGTCACGCTTTTTTTCTTCTCAACTATTTTCTATCCCAATACAAATAAACGTTTTCTATAGTATACAAAGTGTGTTCTATAACTGCCTTCGTTTAAAAAAAAAAAAAAGTAGCAAATACGCTGAATGCGCGTTGTACAAGTTTTTCATTCATATTGTCCACCTTAACTGGGTTCTTGATCTCGCAGACGTTGTACAGTGTAAAAATTTAATAAATAATTATTTGTTAGGTTTAATACATACATGCTACAGACATGCTATTTCGAACTTTAGCTTTAGCTTGACCTCAGAGCCTTTGAAGGCTGTCAACGCAGTTGTGATCATAGCGACATAAGAGCCCATGGGCGCGATTAGAATTTCTCGTTTGTTTTCCATATCTCGAAAACGTTACATATAAAATTATACGAATGTTTGCCAAAATAAGTTTTCGTATAAGAGTACATATACCTACAACCCACTTTTCTAAGTGTTTCTGTTTGTATTGATTGAAACTTATTTTACGATAAAAATAAAACTAGTCTATATTTGTACAAAGAAGACGGCGGTGACTAATAAAATTAATCGATAATAATCGTACGATATTTTTGTCTTATGAATTAAATGTTATCAAATAATTGTTTTATCTTTTTAAATTGTATGATATGACTAGAGATAAGCTTTCTTATAAGCATATAAAATTTTCATTCACAGACTACTACGCGCAAGAATACCAGAGATACACGAGTATGGGCATATCGGAAGCTAAGGACGACTCGCCACGGACCACTCCGGAGCTCCACAGATCGGACCAGTCACCCTCAGACAGACCCCAGGGCTCCGCTGACAGCGATGACGCTGACGACTTTGCCCCAAAAAGGAAGCAACGCAGATATAGAACCACCTTCACAAGCTTTCAACTAGAAGAGCTGGAGAAAGCATTCTCAAGGACGCATTATCCTGACGTTTTTACAAGGTATGTTTAAAATTGGAACATTTTCAACATAGTTCAACATTTAAAACATTTCAAGTACTGTGAAGAACTTGTTATCATTCAGTTTACTATTCAGATGTAATAAAAATATTTAAAGAGTTAATTGGAAACATTACTTTGCTTCTGAGGTTGCTGTATTAACTATGATTTATTAATAAATAAATAGAAAATACATATATTAGTAAAATTCACCTCCAAATAAATAGCATTTGTTTCAATTTTCTTAAATTACTTATGAATCAAAGTAAATTTTCTTAAATCAATTGTCTTCTAATAGGACATTAAAATTCGTATCTAAGTTGCACTCCTTAGGTATTCATCATACCTTTTAATCTACTATTAAAGATAATTTAACCAACGACGCTGAGTAATCCGTCATTACTAAACACGAGGATTTAAGACATAAAACAATATTGCAATATTGTTTAATGATACGGTCATAAATTAATTTTTTTATGAATATTTCCTCCGGTAATATAAGTATTACCGAAAGTTATTGTTAATTTAATTACTTAGCGGATATGTGAACCTGTATCTGATAAAGAACACGTACAATATCACCAAAACGCGATGAAATCTATAACATTAATTAAAATACATTTTAATTATCAATGATTTTATCAAATAAAAAAATAAACTAAAACCTAGATCTAGACATCTATCTGGACATTGAATATTTTGGCATACATTAGCAATAAATATGGAAAAAAATTTTAATTGAGCTAGTTCTTTTTGAGTTTATTCAATACACACCTAGAAAATATACAACCATATCTTTTTAAAGTTATTAAAAACTAGATTTAGAAATAGAGTTCAGAACGAAATAGTAACTTTACTGTTTAAAAAATATATATATTATGATATAAATGTACGAATTTAATTACCAAACAATACTAATAGAAAAATGTTTAAATAATATTTTTATGAACTTTCATTCATAGATCACAAATCATTCTCTATTCTATATATCTTTGATTAGCTTCCTACAATGTTTCAACGGTAGTAGAATATTGAAATGTCAAACTATCATTTCATTTTTATATATTTATATAAATGGTATTTTATTAATATTATTATTACGTGAAAAAAACATGATTTTCATTAAAATCAAATCAAAATAAATACACTGTAGAGTTGTAATTCATCCCATATCTTATACTGGGTGTAATATTTAAAACCGTCAGTAAGCTTTCCACTTAACTGCATTACTATTTCAATCATTGACTCATTAGTTTTTTGATCTTTGACTGATACACCCCAACCAATAACCGTGACGTCAACAACGAAACATTATTTTCTTATTGACGTCGTCACGTTTCAATGGTTCACGTCTCAATATACACGCTGATGTCTGAAGACAGCTTATTTTGCTTATAGGAAATTTTATTAGTTCAAAAAGATACTAATGTGTGATCAAAAGTCCCAATTGGCTTGTATAATTTTTATACTAATTTTAAATGTATTGTTTCAGAGAAGAACTCGCTATGAAGATCGGACTTACAGAAGCAAGGATTCAGGTAATACTAGATCTGCCTTCGATTACGACTTTTCATTCATAGTGTAATTATGTGACCTACAATGATTCTTAATATTTTCCATTCATATCCAGCATCCAGCTTAAAGTGATTTTTAACATATTAGCGTAGTAATATTTAAGTTCATTTATGGTATTTATATAAAATTAGGGATTAATTTGACATACATCTGAAAAGCGGACATTTTTAAATAAATTTGCATGAAACATACATAAATATGTTATAATTCGGTACATATACAATTTTTTTTCTTAAACAATGAAGATGAATTAAGATGTTTTACACAATTTATATTTAAGTAACTGCTACATATGAGAAGATCCGTAAAGAAATCGGGAAATATTTATTTGGCATCTAAAAGGGTCGCTATGAGTTTTAAATAAACGAACTAAATAAACAAAACCTTAAAGAAACTATACTTTTGAAGTTATACTTCTTTTGGCGCGTTAGGGAAAAATGATGAGACTAAATTTTTACGATGCGCGCGCCCACCGTCACATAGTGCGTTTCCAAATCTAACCTTCGCCATTATTGTGTTAAATGAAATAAATATATTTAGAACTTTATAAGCGGCTTACGAGCATAAAGTATGATATTGAATCTTCCTCTCCAATCACACTCTTCATTTCTGAAGGTCGTGTTAGTGGCGCCGCTCAACTTCCTCGACTCTCCCCTGTCTTTGGCAAGCCTCTGCGTTTGGGTGTAGGACCCGTAAGAGCCTTTTCCTGATCGGGCCAGCGAGTAGGGGATCGGTCTGGTGCCCTCCACTCTGCCAGTCACGACTTTTTCTAGGCTTTCTAGATCTCAGCGTGTTAACCATACAAAGAATTTTCTTATTTGTTAAATGAAGCGGCGGTAAGAGGAGCGTCATACCACTAGTACAAAAATCATCTAATATACGTAAGTTTAGTCCATAGCAATGTTCAAAAAACCTTCTCGGGTGCATCCCACATAACTTTTGAATTACTTCCACATTCCATCCGATTATATACAGCCTACAAATTCCAGATTTTCCAAACGTAATCCATCCTAGAAAGCTGTCACGTGCCCTCATTTTCCATTGGACATAACCTAATTGGCCCTCCCTATCCAGAGCAATAAATTAACGAGATAGTGTGGTGAATGTACGCAGACACAAAATGAAACATTAAAATTTGATAAAGTATAATAAATTTACGTCATTCTGGTAATGTTTTTATCACGGTAATGATATATGTTTTCTCTGAACTTGATGACAAAGTGATTTAAGTTATCACTGTAGTTTAACCAATATTGGTATATAAATATTGCAAAACTTTTGTATTGACGTCGAATTCTTATTATATGTAATTAATTACCTACGGTACTGTCGTATATTATAAATAGTATATAATACTACAGACAGAAGTAAACTTCAATTTGAATTGTAAAGCTTTTTTACCGCGACAGTCAATCAAGTTGGTTAAGTCATGTCGTAATTAAGTTTTTGGCGAGTGCAAGCAAAACAAGAACATGTTCACCGAACCATTTTAATTAAATAATACAAGTTTTCACGTACAAAGGCGCCGAAGTATTATGATCATAACTTCACCGAAACGATAGACATTTTGAAAAATTAAATCGCAACGCACTCGTAACACTTACAATAATTGTTGCGATCATAATGAAGTAATTAACAACGTTCCAAAACAGACTTTATTTCTTAAATGCTTGGTACAAAATTGAGCCGTTAAAATTCACTGACTGCTAAAAAAGAACTACATATTTGTAGCCATAGAGGGAGGGAGGCCATGATTTAGAAAATAAGACAATTTTTTCAATTTAAACTATCGTTCGTCAAGCCACTTGATTTTATTCAATATTAAAATGTAGATAAGCTCTAATATTGAGAAAACGTTGCTTCAATAGCGAAGAAAACCAATTCTTAAAAGGCCAGCAACGCACTTGCGCATCTTCTGGCTAAGTGAGTGTCCAAAGACGGCATTATCACTGTCTGTATGGTGTCCATTATCACTTAAAATTAGGTAAGCCTCCTGTCCGTTTTCCTCCTGTTACATAAATAAAATACTTGTTAATAACCTTATTTTCTTAAATATCAAAGTTATTTCGGCCGCTTAGTATATAAATAACCTCTCGACCTTCAGCGAGACTTTTCTGCTTCTCGGCTTGAGACCAAGTCCGAGTCTCGCAGGAGACGCCCTTGCGCTAGTCGCGGGAAAAGCCACTAGTTAAACTGGTCGAGGATCCTTCGAAGGTCGAAGGAAGAGCAGCACCATCCGTCTTGTACAGTAGTAGAATTACAATAATCTTGTGTTGCTATTGTAATTCTACTACTACCTATATCATTTTGTACATACATATTTTAACATAACACATTTTCTACCTATTAGACTTTGTTATCAAATATGCCAGGTTATTAAGCTTATTTTGAGGCTGTAAAAGCGTCCATAAACTTATAGAGTCGTGGTCACCCACATAGCATTCATAATGTCGACATTTAAAGAAATGTTCTGAATTTTTTACACGTGGACATTTATCATAAGTGAATTAATTTAAATCACCATAAAATGAAATTTTACATAATTATTGCTGCTCTTTAGGTATGTCTGTGGTTTTTGCCATAAAGCTCATGTTTTATACAGCACTTAACTGAATACAAATCAATCAACTTCACTATTCGTTCTTTTGACCTATTATCAATCATTAAAATTGCATTCGTGATATTATATAATGAAGACGTAAAAATTATGAATTTATTAATTAAGAAAGTTGTAATTACTTTAATATCTGTATCCCATGATTAATTCAGTAATTGGAAAGTGCCAATTCATACCGTTTTTTTTAAGTTTTGGGCTCAGTCGATTTAAAAAGAGCATTTGGTTCATATTTTTAAATTAATTGATACATACTTTATAAGGAGGGATATATATATATAAGGATTCGATCAATTGCCCTAAGTACAAAAAAATATTTCGAAATATCTATAGCGTGTCATAGGCAATTCTTTTTAATAACTCTTTCATTGTACCACTACCTTTCCCGCTAAGTGTAAAAGTATTTTAAATTTCGAACACGAAAAATTTTCTCAGACAAATATCGAACGAAGACGCCGAAAATGTGGCTCCCGCGCCATAATTAAATTAAAAAATAATCGGTGGTGGTCAAATATGCTAGTAAAAACATAAAAATTAAAATTGTACTTTGTCATACCCTAAGTAATCCATAAAAGTATTTAATTAACTGAACGATAAATCGAAATCAATCAACGGGGGTCGTGGCAATACTTTATTAAATGTTCGTTCGCGAGGTTTTGGCTCCCCATATTTGGAGTTGAAACGAAGTAAGGCAGGTGCGTGATATAAATAGTAAATAAATATACATTACTATTACAAATTGGGTCTTATAATTAGTTTCTCACGGGTAATTTTTTATCATGTTAAAATTTAGTATGAGTTCTTGAATAAGGTTTCCAGGTTTCATATGCTTACGTAACATGGTTTAGCCATAACTATCTAGAGTATGATGTTACGCTATGCACTGATCTAAGACAATTAGATACGTATAATAAAAAGTCAAAATAATCCTAATAACATTGAAGAAGAAAGAGTTTTAAAATTGAAAATTGTTCTGCCCACAATTCTACTTTCAAACTCTGAATTAAATGGTAGCTAATAAGCAGCGTTTTTTATAGGTCTGGTTCCAGAATCGAAGGGCAAAATGGCGAAAACAAGAGAAAGTCGGACCTCAAGCGCACCCCTACAACCCTTACTTGGGTGGTAGTGCTCCGCCCCCACCATCAGTGGTCGCTTCCATGCCAAACCCTTTCTCCCAAATCAGCTTTGGCTTTAGAAAACCATTTGATGCAAATGCATTGGCGTCTTTTCGGTGAGTATGAAAAAAAGCTTTTACATAATTCAACTAATGACGTTAGCACAAACCAGCGCCTTTCTTAGCATGTATCTATGAGTTTACTTTTGTGACGAAATGTTTGCCTTAATGTGTTTCTTTAAAGGCTTACAGGTCCTTTATTAGAGCAGCTGCGACAAATAAATATCGCGAAACTATTAATCTAACTAAAACACAGTCACCTTAAACACACTACATTTGGCAAAGATTTTATTGCCTGATCTGAAATAATATGCAGTCTTAAAAAGATTTATTCGTTTTTGCTTCACGCGAGTAGGTACATTTGAATAAGAGATCGATGAGAGTCTTTCACCGATCACGACTGCTGTTATGTATTAGTAATGCTCGTAAATATCTTACTAAGTATATTCATTTAACATAACCCGTTTTTGCTTTTAGGACTGCTGGAACGCTGTATTAATAAAATGTTATTTTCGCAGATATTCAAGCGCCCCAGTGATTGGTTCGCAATACCTCAACGCGTCTCTTTCCCGCCCGCCCCTATTCAGCGCTCCCATGTACACATCAACACCTCCCTTCCACTCGCTACTCGCTGGACTCACAGCTCCACCACGGCAATCCCCCGACCCACCTCCCGTTTCTCCCCCTATATCCCCCGGCAGCGAATCACCCCCCAACCAAGCACCTGAAGTCGAACGTAGGAGTTCCAGCATTGCTGCGCTTCGGATGGCGGCAAGAGAACACGAATTACGACTTGAAATTCTCAGACAAAGACATCACACAGACATGATCAGCTGAACTTTGTGATATTTAAAGTGGTTTCGTTAAGCGGTTTGTGCAATTCTGGACGCCGCGATGTGTCTAGTTTGAAAACCTAGCAGGAGTCGTCGAATAACTTTTGCGATTGTCTAAAGCAGTGTTTCCCAACGTCTACGTCCCAATTCTATTGTTAAAGGGGATTAAAATAGTTAAAGCTATTAAAAAATTTATTAAATTTATTTCGAATTTGAATTTCACTTTTTCATTAAATTTTTTGAATTTTTACTTACTGTTTTTCATTAACAATTTCCAAGTAATTTATTCCTTAAACCTATCATTTAAGTTTCTTAAGTGAATATTTAAATTATTTATATAAAAATTATTTATGTTGAGAGCCTCCCCCATAAGAATTTTAGAAAGGCTAAGGTGGGGCATGGTCGAAAAAAGGTTGGGAATCACTTGTCTAAAGCCACATTGCAAAAGACTCGACTAAATAAAAAGCACAACGCTCCACCACAGTGTAAAAACGATGACAGTAATATAGACAATAGAATAGAATATATTAACGATTAAATTGGATCTTGACAGTTCCACAGTTTACTACTTATATTTATTATTATACCTGTATATATAACATTGTACAAAAACACCGTGTTCATAATTTTAGCGCGCACAAAGTAATTTTAATATTGGGCTGTTTTACAAGGGTTGCACATTTACATTGGTGTTCAATTTTATGTTTTTTTTTTGTTTAATAATAAGAAAAGACATACCAGTAAGTTTTAAGTAACGAAATTTATATTAAATAAAAAAAACTACGAACGGTCGAACGATTTTATTTTGTATTTTAACTTACTTCAAAATAAGGTTTTAAAACTCGAATTTTGAATAGTGCCTTTGAGTCTGTGTGTATTTTTATTAAGTTTATAGATGTGTTATTTAGAATAATGTTTGTAACTTCATCCGTCCAATTATTGCCTTATATTTATTATAGTTTAAGATAGTTGTACATATCTAAATTTAGTACTAGATATTTTCAAGTGTGATTAAATTTATACCCCTTTTTAAGTTATATTGCAATATACCTGAATGTTCCTTACCCATTAGACACTCTTTGTCTTCCTTGACTGAGAGATCGTCGCGTTACGATTTTAGATTCTATATTAATTTAAGAAAAAGAATAACTACATCTTTAAAATAATAAACAGTGTAAAAATTATTCTGGTTTCCGTCAAGCAAGATGTGCTGCTCAGAAATGGCTTGCCATAATCTGTAGAAATCTTTTTCGCAACATACTATAGATATAGGAATAGAACATGTTCAAGATTAAGCAGTATTAATCATATACAATGTTAATTTTGAGATAAATTGTGTTAACAAATGACTTAGAGTTATCATTTAAGATTTCAATATGTACTTAGCATTTGGAAGTTCATTTTGATCCAAAGAAACGCATGGATTTCCATAAAAATCATTTAGATTAAATTCATTTGTTTGTTTCCTTTGCTGTATATCAATCAGTATGAAATAAAAGAAATTAAACTATTGCTGTATTTTATTTATCACCCTTTACATATCTGGTTATTTTTATATTAATTTTTAATATATGGCTTTGGTTTTGTAGATACGTTTATTTATTTATTTTATATTTTAACTTAAGTGCGGAAAAGATTTAAAAATACACTGATTGAAAAGCTAAAAAGGCTCTGGGAAAATGTCCAAAACATATAAGAAATGGCTATATATAGAATCTCTAGCTATAACTGCTGCATATAATGAGGGTAATTGTGCTAGAGCTTTTATTTGTCACTAAATTTAGTTATATCTAATTAATCCATGTAAACAAAGGATTATGATTATGTTGTGACAGGAGCGGTTAAAACCTGTTAATACAATTATACAAATTAAATAAAGAATGAAACAGCTCATGTAGCAATGTCTCCATTAATTTTCGTATTTAATTGATTTTAATATTTTCACAATATTAATTTTTTCACATGCGTATGCATGTATTAACATACTACAAAATGTATTAACCCTTTTATTCATAAAAAATAGATCAGTCTCATTACACCGTCTTAATTTATCTGTCCCTTTTCATCACAGCGTAAATATGATTTCATAGAATGAGCCGAAAAATTCAGGTATAAAAATGGTGTAATTAGAGGAATTTATATAGCCATAAAAGGGTTAATATATACACGTTAACACATTTGTAGAATGTTAAAACCATGCATGCGCATGTGAAAAAGATTAATTTTGTGAAAACATTAAAATCAATTCGCTACTTTACATAACTACCGCCGAGCATTAATTTGAAAATGCCCGAAAGCCCATTACGTTTCAGCGAAGCAGGCTAAATGATAATTAAAGAATCTCAGATGTAAACAGAAGTATTGATAAATGAATACGAGAGAGTGTAGGTTTTTGCATTTCTGTTCTTTATTTTAACTGCTATTCTATGATTATAAAAAGTTGACATAATTGTTTCGCAAATTTACGGAGTTATCAAGTTTTATTTTGAAAGAAAATATTTTACACTTATTAAGCCCCCCAAGAGGCTCGCCTTCTCGCCATTTTATAACAAATTAATTCGTGACTATATATGTTCATATATATTCTAAAATATCAAATTACAACCTTGTCACTTTCATACATAATTGATATTTTATAATAGTTCCATTCTGGTACTTTAAAAAAATATCTTTGTTAACTATTAAGTTTGTTATTGAAGAGTTGGGAACCCTGACAAAGTTATTTTTTAACTTAAAAGGTTTCTTTATCTAACACATTTTTATTGTCTTTTTTACTTTTACTTTCGAGTATCGGACAGCGTACGCGAATCTCATTTGAAAAATCGATACCCAACAATCCAATTTCGGCTTTCACCAACCACAACGCAATCAATCATGCACTCATTACTCATCACTGCATGAAATAGCTAACTGTTAGACCACCATCAATCAGCCAACAATACATTGACACTCATTAATAATCTAATCACATCTAATTAAAATGTAATCCAATAAGAAATTCAATTATTGAAGATCATGGATCCGTGGGAAGAGCGTGGGCCCAATTGATTTCAAAAGAGTTATTAATCTACGATTCAATTATAATGTTGCTTTAAGGTAAGACTTATATACTTATACTCTATATTGTCTGTATCTACTTCATTGGCATGAAGCCATGTCTGATTTACGTTTATTAAACGCACAGTCTATACTGAAACACAGATCTACGTCTAGGAGCAGCTGGCACGGAGCTGCCGCATTTTAATCTGTGCAATTTTTTTTAAATTAGCAAATCGTTTTTCAACCCAAACCAATAGTTTAAATGTGATTTTAACAATTATTATTCCATCCTTCAAAACTAAGGTGCGTTAACTATATTATATAAGCTATGAAAGCATAAAAGAATTCGTTTCTTAATTTAAAAATCTAAGTTGGAAGCTTATAAAAATAGTATTAATATGAAAGATATAATTTAGATTCCTTTAATAAAACAAATAAGTAAGAAGTTAATTTTATGTATACTGAATATAATTCTTATCCTGACTATGGATCCGCCTTCTGGCTACAGTATAATAAAGAAATTGGTCTAAAACACAAGCTTTATTTAAATTAAAATTAATTAATATAATAGACATTACTCGTAGTATTGTCTATTATAAAACAGACTACACATCTATGAAAAATATTATAGTTTTCATCACGGATTATTTAATTATGTGCCTAAAAAAAAAACACAATCAGTGAAAAACCGGGTATTTAAATGTGTAACATGAATAAATTTAACGATTACTAGAATAAAGTGAGCAGTTTTGGCCTAGTGGATTTAGCGTTCGATTCTCATCGCTCAGGTTGAACCTCAGCTATGCACTTATGGACTATCTGTCTGTGTACGCATTTTACTCGCTGTACAGTTAAGATAAATCTTGAGGAAACAGGCATGCAAGACCCAAAAAAGACGACGGCGTAGCGGCACTTCAGGCTGATCGCCCACTTGCCTATTAAAAAACAAATGATCACGACATAGATACAGATACCTAAAGCCCAGACCTTAAAGGTTGTAGCGCCAATGGTTTTTTTTAATAAATCTATATACCATGGTGACTGGGTGTGCCTAATTTTTACTGGGCCCATAATAATTTTATAAAAACTACAATATAAAGCGATTTTAATTACATATTATCTTTACTTATTCAATATTTATAACTTTTTTTCAGCAATTACTTTTTAATCAAATTTGGATCTTGATCATAGAGAAAACCTACACTACGAGTTAATCGCCATATCTTCAATCTTACACCACAATCAAAGGTTAGCGATGGGCGGCTACTCGCCAAATCTAATTACGATTTTTATAAAAACTTGAGCTAAAATAGCTATTTTATAATAACGGAATCGTGTGAATTGGGCGCGTCTGAACCAACGATTTATAATTAATTCCCGGAATATTTGATTTATAGCAACAGTTGGAATTTAAAGACATGGTTTAATTGAAAGGTATTCTTGAAAAAAATTGCTTTTCGTAGATTTATGAAAATATTAATTAACAAAACATTGTAATTCCGCGACATAGGAGAAATTACGTTCGCCTGAGTACTTCCATGTCTAATAATTTTCGTAAATCTTCTAATATATAAAATTCTCGTGTCGCGGTGTTTGTAGTTAAACTCCTCCGAAACGGCTTGACCGATTCTCATGAAATTTTGTGTGCATATTGGGTATGCCTGAGAATCGGACAACATCTATTTTTCATCCCCCTAAATGTTAAGGGTAGTCCACCCCTAAATTTTTATGATACAGTATTAAAAAATACATACAACCCCTAATTTTCACTCCTCTACGATCAACCCCTATTTTTTATTATAAATATTATACATGGCAAAACGACGTTTGCCGGGTCAGCTAGTATTATATAAATTCTACTCGATCTTAGATAAAAGACATATTTTAAGTTCCGGTTCCGACTCCGGCGAAGCTTCTTGACTTAAATCTAGGTAAGATTACTAGGTGTCGCGTGAAGCGCCGGGT